GCCGAGCGGCGCCGAGTTGGAGCCCGTGGCCGACCTGGCGCTCATCCGCTCGCGGTCCGCCGCCATCTCGGCCTCGGACTTGATGCGCAGGTGCGGCGTCAGGTCGCGGCCCGTCGCCTGGTCGACGTCCTTCATCGACAGGCCGATCCGCCCGCCCACCATCGACATGACCTTGACCTTGACCCGCTGGCCGCGCGACAGCAGGTCCGACGGGTGGTTGACGCGCGAGTTGGCCGCAATGGAGCCGATGTGGACCATGCCCTCGAACTTGCCCCGCAGGCCCTCGAGGCTGACAAACGCGCCAAAGTCCTTCATGCCGCTCACCTTGCCGTCGTAGATCTTGTACATGACCGGCTTCTCGTCGGGCGCGTTGCGCGTGAGGTGGTGCGGCGGCCTCTCGTCGCGGCCTCGCCTCGTGTAGCCTCCGTCGCGTTCGTCGTCGTCGTCGAAGCGTCGTCGGCTGCGGCGGTCGTCGGCGTACCGGTCGCCGTCCCGCGCCGGCGGCGGCGACCTCGACCCGCGGCTGCCACTCCTCGGCCCTCTTCCGGATCCTCCTGGGCTGCGCCCGTCTGACGCTGGCGCTCCGGTGCGGCGGTTGGCCATGTCCTCAAACTCCTTCATAAATGCGTCGACGGCGTTTTCGGCGCCGCGCTCCGGTTTCTTGTCCTCTGGCGCCTGCCACTCCTGGTCGCGGATGGCAAGGCCGGGGAACATGCGCTTCTTGCGCTCCCTCTCCTCGTCGAGGGCGGCGTCGGCGTCGGCCTGCTTGGCCTTGCCGTTGGCTGCGGCGGCGGCGGCGGCCGACGACGACGGCGCTGACGCGGGCGCCTGGGCCTTTTTGCGGTGCTTTGGGTGCATGCTGAGGATGAGGCGGTCGAGGTTGGTGACAAACGAGAGCGGGAACTCTGCGCCTACCTCTGCGAGCTTGGCCTTGAAGTCGTCGATCGACTTTGACTGCTCGTGGAGCGAAATGACAAACTCGGCCAGCACGCGGTCATTGATGCCGGTGTGGTTGAGCAGCTCGTTTGTAATCTTGGAGGTGAGGGAGAGCAGCTCGAGCTGGTAGATTTCGTCGCCGGCAGAGGACGCCATCGTGAGCAGCAGGCGGCCGTCGGCACGCAGGGGGGCGACGGTGTCGTTGCTTGCTTGGCCTTTCGTTGCGTCGGCGGGGGGGGTGGCACGGGGCGGTGTGATTCGTCGAGGCACGAGGGAACGGCGGTCGCGCTCGTGAGCGGTGCAGTGTCGGGGTCGTAGAGAGCGTGCGAGTCGGTGGACGAGGTAGAGGAAGGGGTGGCAACAGACTAGGGTGATGATGGTGGCGGTCGTCGTGTAAGGACTGCAACGCTGCTGCTGCGCGAGAAGGTCTGACTGGAGGGTGGAGGGGCCCAGCCCAGTGAAAGCCAGGCTGCGTGGGTGCCAGCCAGCCAGCCAGCCAGCCAGCCAGCCAGCCAAGCCATGGAAAAATCGGTGGCGGCCGGGCGAGGCGGGGCCAGACGGTGCTCAGCCAGCCAGCCTCGGACCCTCGCCCCGTCTCTTTCGGATCCGAGCAGGCGAGCCTCTTTAAGTCGCGTCGCCGTCTGGCTGGCAGGCTGGCCTGGCTAGGCCTGGCCTCGGGCCAGCGGGCAAGTGGAGGAGAGAGAGAGAAGCAGGCGGGCCCAGGCCAGGCAGCCCCGGCGAGGCGCGACCGTCCATCCCCCTGGCAGGCGCCTCGAGACGCGAAGGACGCGACGTGGGTCACTTTAGAAGCGATCCTCTCAGCTGGCCTGGCCAGGCGGTTGGGCGACGTTGAATTTTGCCCCGCCTGCCATCGCGATCATCACCACCTTTTCTCATCGTCCGGTGCAGTCGACCCGTCGTGGCCCCTCGTCTCTCCATCACACCCACACCCACACCCACATTCCGACCGCCTCTTTTCCCTCATCCGCATACCAAGCTCCTTCATCGCCCAACCACCCCTCATCACTGCGCACCACCACCACCACTACCATCACCACTGCATACCACCATCACCGCGCACACCATTCTCGCCGCCGCCACTGCGAGCACTCAACTCCCACCGTCTTGATATTCCAGCATCGCCTCGTTTCACCTACATCTACGCCTCTGTCGCGGCCCAGACAAGATCCCTCCTCGCTCTTGATGCCCATCGCCTTGCCCGCCAGCGTCCGCCCCCTCTCCCTCTAGGCAGCACGGCCGCCCATCGCTGCTGCCACTGCCAACCTGCGCCCCGTGGTCCGGCTCGCCACCCGATCGAGTCATGGAACGCTGGGCTTCGGCCGACCCGCACCCTTCCTCCTCGAACCTGCAGCCGCACAGCCACGACAGATTGCCGCTCGGCCACCAGCTCTACCACCAGCGCCGCCCTTCGGCCCATCCGCCTCGGCCCATCCGACCCCGCCGCCCGTCATCGTCGTCGTCGTCGTCATCGGCGTGCTCGACCTCGTCGCTTGTTTCGGGCGCATCCGACTTCGACTCTAGCCCCCGGCAACCTTCGTCCGCCGCCATGTCCTCCTCGCGCAGGATCCGCGATCCTCGACCCGCCATGGACAGTGAGTAGCATCCTCGCCGCCCCTCTCGCCGGACTTCTGTCTCGACCAGTTACCTCGAGAGGCCCCTCTCCCTCTTCACTCACACAGATGTTCGCTAACACCACACGATCTCGTATCCTCGCCGACCGGCACCTCGCAGTCAAGGTCCTCTATACGCTCGACTCGAGCCCCAACCACACCATGGTGGCCAGGGTGGGCAAGCCCGTCCCCGTCGACGTCGTCCGACCAGCAGGCGGGCCTCCTTCCTCGCCCATGCACGGCACTCACCACTCCAGCGCGCCACCGATGACGCGGTTCGGAAGGGTCACGCTCAAGGCCTGTCTCAGCGCCATCTGCACTGCGAGGTGAGGGTCGCTGCCTCGCCGTCCCGCCCTCTGGACCCCCTCCAGGACACAGACTGACACACCGCACCTCGCTTCCTCACTTTTGACCTGCAGCCCCGAGCTCATCTTTGACCGGAAACGCGACTACATCATCTACGCCGTCGACCCAGAGGAGACGTTCCGTGCCGCTCAGCAACGGTCGCCCACGGGCCCCCTTCGTAGCGTCGGCCACGCTGCCGAGTCGAGCAAGGCCGGTGCCGTCGCTGCTGCTGCCGCCGCGGCCGAGTCTGCCGCACCGGCCGCCATGATGGTCGGCAAAGGATACTTCCGCTGGGGCCTCGAGGAGGAGGGCGACGGCGAGACGCTCGTCTCGGGCAAGGTGCGCTCCGAGGGCATCCGCTCCGTCTACCGCGACGGCCGCATGGTCGACGAGAGCATCGACGTGCTCGAGGTCGTCTTCAACATGAAGGAGACCCAGGCGAGGAGCAAGGACCAGTACTATGACCTGGTCCGTGGCTTTGGCAGCTCGTCGGCGAGTTCGATCGAGCCGTCGCCATCGTCGGCCATGCCCATGCGAGCCGAGCGCCGGCCGTACCACACGGCGCATGCCGAGTCGCGCTCCAGCTCCCGCTCGCTGCAGCTCAGGTCTGAGCCCGACTACCACCAGGCCCGCGATCGGTCGACAATCCCTCCTCAGCACGAGCAGCAAGACCAGCAGCAAAAGCAACAGCGACAGCGGCAGCAGCGACCGCGTGGGTCATCGAGAAGGTCTTTGGCTCCGGCCGGCGACGTCTTCGAGAGAACTACGGACTCCACCAGTGTCCGCGGGCATGAGGCGCGAGCCACATCACTGGCACGAGAACCCTCCCCGGCAAGTCGGGCGATGCAGGCACCCTCTCCGTTGCAGTCGAGCGCATCCGCGCAGCAGGCGCCCGCACAAACGACGCTCGACCTCGATGCAGTCTCGGCCGTGCATCCCGGGGCGCTGCATCTCTTGTCGGCGCTGCAGACGCTCAAGGATCGCCGGGACCAGCCGGGACAGAAGGGCCCCGAACCGCAGCAGGCTCAGCAGCTCGGTGAGCTTCTCACAGCCGTCGCCGGGGCTCTCGGGCTCGGCATCACGAGCGGCGCAGTGACGGGCGAGGCGGTCCCGGAGACGACTGCCACGCCTCAGCAGCCAGTGCTCGGCTCCATCGACGCGCCGTCAGTCCAGCCGGGAACGAGCGAGCCGCACGGTTCGAGCGGCGCCGAGGGCAAGGAGAACCGCGCCGCCATAGAGACACCGCCGGCCACCAAGGCTGCGTCCAAGACGGGCGGCAGAGCCCGATCGACGGCCGCCACCCCCGCATCCGAGGTGGTGGCCACCCCGGCCCAGTCGACGGCAGGCAGAGACACCAGCGGCGACAGCCAAGGCGACACTGTCGGCGGCGGGGATGCCGCTGACGCCGACAGCCGCGCCGCGAGCGCCTGCAAGAACGTATGCTACAACTGCGGTTCCTCGCGCGCCAAGACCTGGCGCGCCATGGTCCTCCCCGTTGGCACCGAGATCAACTTCCCGGCAAGCGAAAAGCATCCGCTCAACTGGCCGGCCGCCGAGTACCCCACCCAATTCGCCCACCTGCCGGGGCCCATCGTGTCCGACGGCTCGTGCCGCTGGACCGCCTGCAACTCGTGCGGCCTCTACTTTCTCAAGTGGGACGACTCGCGGCCCAGGCACATGTGGGACCGGGAGTGGAAAAAGAGGATGAAGCGCGAGCAAGCGGCAAGGGACGCCGCCGCCACCCAGAAGCGCTCGAGCAGCGAGCAGGCCGACGACGACGCACGGAAGCGCGTCAAGATGTCGCAGACCGACGACGAAGCCGTCTCTCCGGCGTTCAGCACCGGCGACGGCGCGCCGGCGGGCGCGAGCGGGCCGGACGGCGACCAGAAGGCGAGCGGCCTGCCACGGACGCTGAGCTCGGCGTGCCAGCGCGAGGCAGAGAGGCTGGAGTGCGTGCGGCTCGAACGCGAGCGCAAGCGCGAGATGAACCGCAAGAGCAAGGAAAAGGAGAAGCAGCTCGTCCGGGACCAGAACGGCCAGCTGCGGAGCCGCCGCAGCGTCCGCGAGAACCCCGTCGGCAGAAAGGCCGGACGACCCAAGGGCACCTGCAGAAAGTCCATGGATTCGGCAGCAAACGGGTCCGACGCCATGGACGACAGCATGGGCGGCGACATCGACATGGAGCCGAGCCCGGTCACCAGCGTCCGCTCGAGCCCGGCACTGGCTCGCTCGCGGAAACCATCCACAACGACGGCGACCTCGGCGGCGGGGGCAGCGGCAACGGCAACGGAGAAGGCCGCCTCCGCCGCAAACGATGACTCCGTCTTCCGTGCCCCTGCCCCTCCAGCACACGCGGCCAAGGCCTCGGCAGGCGCCGCAGCAGCAGCCTCGTCCACCACCCCCGCCGCGGCTCGAAGCGCTCGCGGCGGCGCGGAGGACGCACCGGCCGGCCGCACCGTCAGCTTTGCCCAGTCGAGCCCGGTCCGACCCTCAATCTCTGCGCGCAACGCATCCAACAGCAGCATGGCAAGCAACGACCACCCGACGCCGTTTGACAGCCCATCGCGCGATCTGCGCTTCCGCGTGCCCAACTACCTGCTCAACTCGAGCCCGGGCACCATGATGGACACGCTGATGAGCGAGGCCGACTTCGACTTTGAGGAGCTCGGGCCGTCGGCCCTCCTCAGCACGCCGGGCTCGCTGATCGGCTTCGGCAGCGGCCTCAACGGCACGCCGACGCCGCTGCGGCGGAGCCCGAGGAAGAACCCAGGCGGCACCCAGAGCGACCAGAACCCCTTTGCCACGCACATGGAGCCGGCAAGCCCGTCGCTCGGGCAGTCGGCGCGCGCGCTGCAGGGCGCCCAGCGGCTGACGTTTTCGAGCGACGAGAGCCCCGTGACGCGCAGCCGCACCAAGTCCGGACAGGGCGTGCTCCATCCCGCGCTCTTCTCGTCGAGCGACAGCCCGACCGAGGGCAAACGATCAAAGGCCAATTCCAGCAGCAACGTCACCTCTCCCATCTCGCCCAGCCCGAGGCGCACGGCCAAGGCCAGGAGCAGCGCCAACCAGCCCACCGCCGCGATCGATGGCGGCAGGGCGGCCAAGGTCGGGATGGCCGCGCGGAAGCAGGCGGCGCAATCCCGTGCCAGCGGCAAGGCCAAGCTGCTCTCCGACGGCCTCGACCAGGACGATGGTGACGACGACGACGACGATGCCGGTGGTGAGCAGCTCACCAAGGGCCCGTACCGCGGCGCGCAAGGCAGCCCCGCCGGCATCAGCCGCCTCTCACGCAAGGCGCCGCCCACCAAGGCGTCGGGCATCAGCGGTGCCGCCCGCCTGTCGCACCTCGACCTGCCGCCGAGCAGTCCGCCGACGTTTGACCACCCGACGACAGAGAGCGCCAACTTTGCCGACGTCGAGGTCGACGGGTGGGGGAGGACCCCGAGCATGCGCGAGATGTTCCCGACGCCGAGCGACGGCGACTGGATGAGCGAGGGCCACGTCTCACCGACCAAGCCAGCCGACAGCCAGGCAAGCCAGGCCGCGGCCACCGCCCCTCTGCCCGCCGACGACAAGCTGCAGGTCGCCGCACCCACATCGCGCCGACCCAGCGCCTCGCCGCAGAACGCGGTGGTGCCCCTTCCGCCGGCCCACGTCGCACGGCGTCCACTGCCGGCGACGGTGGAGGACGCGTCGACGACGTCCGGATCGTCGCCCGAGGACAACGACTCTCCCGACCAGGCCTCCAACGTCTTTGAGCTGTTCGACGATCCCTACGGCCTGCTCGCCGCGTCCGGCTTCGGCATTCAGGGCAACGGAATGAGCGCCGACGCCTTTGCCGACGTCGAGCTGCATCGCTCGATGGAGTTTGGCCATCACCTCAACGCCTTCACCCAGGAGGGTGGCGCCGGCGTCGCCGCGCATGTCGCACCGGCGGGCGACACGACGATCGTCGCGCGGCCGCAGACACGGTCGCAGGACGACGGCGCAGCAGCCTCGAGCTCCGCTCCCGCCTCGCAGTTGCAGATCACCGTCCCAGCATCGACTTCGTCGTCGTCGTCGTCATCCAACTCGGCCCTGCCCATGCCCATGCCCATGCCGATGCCAAGCACGCCTTCAATCGCGGGCGACGTGGCGTCGTTTTTCTCGTCGTTCCCGCCGGCCGAGCTGACGGCGCTGTTTGCATCGCCGGGCAAGCCCAAGGTCGGAGCGCAGTTTGTCGAGACGCTGCTCTCGCCGCGGGGCAAGGGGCGGTCATCGTCGTCGTCGAACAACTGCAACGGCAACGGCAACGGCAACGGAGGCGGCCCGTCGTCGTCGCTGCCCCTCGTGGCCTCGGGAGGCGGCAACAGGGCGGAGCTGTCGACGTCGGACCAGGAAGATATCATCACCCTCCTCAACAACCCGGATATCCAGGCCATGTTGGCCGAGTTTGGTGATCTGCCGGGCATGCCCAACGTCGTGTCCGCCTCGCAGCAGCAGCGCGGGGCCGCCACGAACAAAGAAGCGGCGGGCGGCGCTCTCGCCTAGTAGTCGTTGTCACTGGCCCGGCCACACCACCATCCCGTTTCGTCCGTCTTACAGCATTCCCGATCCACCCAAGGAGGACTGTTCTCCGTCGGCGTCGAGCCGTTCACTCGCCCCCCCCCCCCCCCCCCCCCCGCCCCCCCTACCTTGCATTCTACAATTCCCTTCCCTGCCTGCCCCATCTGCCACCGCGCTCTGTTGTAATCTCTCCAGCATTTCCCCTCCGATGTCTTTATCATCGACGTGCATCCTACCTAGCATTGACCATCGATCCCATACCTCTCCTGTGTACTTTCGCGATGCGAGACGAGGCGAGCGGTGTGTGTGTGCGCGACGGATCGAAGCGGTCAAGTAACGATTGCACTCTTGGGAAGGGAAGAAGGGGATGACGTGGAACTGAGCGGGGACCGGCGAGCCACAGAGCAAGATTTACGGCACCTCTGGGCGGAACGGCACCGTACCGGTAGAAGCATGACAGCCTGGCAGGATGGGGTGGTCGTCGATTGCCAGTTGAACGGACGAGCTGGCGAGCGACGAGGAGAGGCAGGGCGTGCACATCGCGGCCCCGCGGGTGGCTTCCATCGCTTGGCCAGACTAGACGGTCGGACCGAGACACGGTCTGGTATGCCGGTTGGTTGGGTCGTGTCGAGCCAGGTGCGAGCAGCCAGGCATGGCATCCATCGCCAGACCCTGGACACAGGTGCGAGCGCGACGACCGGCAGGTCAGGCGGGACATGTCACTTCCCCCTTTCCCCCCTCGTCGACACGGCCCGTCCGTCCATCCCCCTGTATGGTGGAATGCTGGCCCGTGACGTCCATCCTCGCCGTCGCCCTGCTCGCCATCGTCTCGGGCACAGCTCTTTCCTTCCTCAAAGTCCAACAGGGGTGGCGTCGCGGTCTGCTCGCCGCTCAGCTCCCGTAGCGTGTGGGCATGGCGGGCAAGCGAACCAATCAAGGGGGAGATCAGGAACGCTTCCATAGACGCCCTGCCTCTCCCACGCTCTGTCGGATGGAATGGATAGACCTCAAGCCCAAGCGGGCCACTGTGAGGCCTAGCCAGGTGATGGTCTCGACCGTCGGTTCGTAACCGCCGCCGCCTTCATCAGCCGTGCCGTATGTAGGCCGATTCCGTCATGCTGTGAAAACAACCGACCTGCGACGACGACGACGACGACGCTTGTTTAGGCTGGTTTGATGCGGATCCAGCCCGAACGGCGCTAAGGGATTCGGCCGTGCCGAGGTCGACCAGCAACGACCAGCGTCGACCAGCGACGACGGTAGATGATGATGATGAGTGCGCCTGTGAGGGTCGCCTGGCAGCGCCATCGAAGTTCTTCGACGCCGCCGTAGCGTCTCCCCGAGTCGAGAGAGATGGATCCCCCCGCCATGTTCGGAAGGGCCGCACTTCGGTGGCGAAAGGCAGGCGGGCGGGCCGACACCGCCTCGCCCTGCCAAGCCCGAGCGAGCCACAGCGCAGCAGGCATGCTAGGCAAAGGAGGACAGCGTCGGCGACGGCGGGCGGTGCGCTGCCTTCGCCGGCCGGGCCTTGCCTACCTGCGTGCCTTCCCGGCGCTGGGGGCTTGTCCCGCAATACGCGCGCGGCCGGGCAACCCTGGAATCCAAATGCGCCGAAGCCTGACGGCCAAACTCCGATGCAAATCAACAAGCAAGCAGCAAGCAAGCAGCAAGCCGCCAGAGGGCAGCCAAAATGCGGGCAGGCGAGCGGGCAGGCAGGCGAGCGGGCAGGCAAGCGGGCGGAGGGGCCAGGAGGGCATGCAAAAAGACCAACACCACATGCTGCTTCGGCGGCCCCTGCCTGCCTGCCTTGCCTGCCTGCCGCCCGCGCCGCGGCCTGGCTTGGCTTGGCTCGGCTTGCCTCAGCGAGCGCGGCACAAGCTTGACCCTGGCCGGCCGGGGAGGGCCCCTCACACACCGCCACAGCAGCGTCGTGCCGCCTACCCTGCTGGGGCAGGCCGGCCTGACTGCCGCTTGCGGTCGAGGAAGTTGAGGCCGGCCGGGGTGACTCTTCGTTCTCGCTCCTCATCGACCTTGGTCTCATCACACCACCTCTCCCTTTGCCTCCCACGCTATCCACTTTCCACGACGCCCTGTGTCAGACACAAAGACAGACACGCACTACGCAACCAGCCCAGGCCAGCCCGCATCGACTCGGCGCCGTCCTTTCCGCTCGCTCCTCGCGCCGCCGTACCGAGCAGCATCATCGGATCCTGCCTTGATTCCCCTGGCCCTGCAGTGCGGCTCGCTTCGACCGATCGAAAGAAGTCGGCGCCGCCCCCTGCCTGTTGCTCGCACCGCGACCAACCCTCGTCCCTTCGGCCCACGCCATCCGGCAATCTGGACCTCGCCCACCTCTCGATCCATCCCTGACCACCTCTCTCTCTCTCTCGCCACACGCGTTCAGGAACGCCCATTCCCGCCGCTGCCTTGCCTCGCTAGTCGAGCACCGTGCGCACGGCGCCTCTGCCTCCCGCTCTCTGACCACTGATCCTTGATAAAGGGGCCGGACCTCTTTCTTCCTCGTCGTTCCTGCTTCTTCCGCTGCTGCTGTCGTCTGCCCGTTCGCTCATCGACACCATCACTGCCATCAACACCGCACCAGCCATGACCAACGCATCCCGCCTCTTCCTCGCCTTTGTGGCGCTCGCCATCTCGCTCGGCATCGCCTCCGTTCAAGCGCTGCCCGCCCAGCAGCAGCAGCTCGAAGAACGCATCGGTGCCATCATCAAGCCCCAGCCCTTCCACGGAAACGGCAGGCGCGATGAGGGCGAGGAGATGCTTGAGAAGCGGATCGGCGCCATCATCAAGCCCCAGCCCTTCCACGGAAACGGCAGGCGCGATGAGGGCGACGACGAGGTGCTTGAGAAGCGGATCGGTGCCATCATCAAGCCCCAGCCCTTCCACGGAAACGGCAGGCGCGATGAGGGCGAGGAGATGCTTGAGAAGCGGATCGGTGCCATCATCAAGCCCCAGCCCTTCCACGGAAACGGCAGGCGCGATGAGGGCGAGGAGATGCTCGAGAAGCGCGTCGGCGCCATCATCAAGCCCCAGCCCTTCCACGGTCCGGCCGGAGGTAAGCGAGACGTGGCAGCAGCAGCAGCGGAAGCGGGCGTCATGGAAAAGAGGATCCGAGGTAAGCCCCTTGACAAGCGGTCGGGAGGTGCGAGTGCCAGTGCCGGTGCCAGCGTCGGTGCATCCCTGGCCAAGCGCGCCTCCGTCTGCAACGGCGACGCTTCGCTCTGCGACCGGCTGTACTCAAACGTCACTTATGTCGGCACTCACAACAGCTACGCAGTAGGCCGCCTCAACCAGGCGCAGGTGGGCTACAATCAGGCCAAGACGGTCAAGCAGCAGCTCGACGAGGGCGTCCGGCTGCTCCAGGTCCAGGCCCACGCCAACGCCAGCGCCCCCGGTAGCGGCATCGACCTCTGCCACACGAGGTGAGTCGCGTGCGCTTGATATACGGTTGCGGGTACGTGCGGTGGCGGCGGCCCGATGCGCAGCTGTCCAGCATGGCCCGCTCCGAGTTGACGAAGTGGGGGAGGCATCGATCCGGGTCCTCGACGCTGCCCCCGGGAGGCGGAAGCACCTGCCTTCCGCCCGGCCCGACCTGGATCCGCCCCCACTTGCGGCGCCGGTCCGTCCGCTTTTCGAGCTACGGTGGTGGGCAACGTTCCTGACGTCATCGCGATGCGCTCCCTCCTGCGAACCTTCACCCCGCAGCTGCTCTCTTGTCAACGGTGGCTCGCTCGAATCGTACCTGTCGACGGTCAAGTCGTGGCTCGACTCGAACCCCAACGAGGTCGTCACCCTCATCATTGTCAACTCCGACGACCAGCCCGCCTCCAAGTTTGGCACCGCCTTCCAGTCGACGGGCCTCGACTCGAAAGCCTACGCCCCCTCCTCTGCCTCGGTGTCCAAGAACTCGTGGCCCACGCTCGGCGCCCTCATCGACGCCGGCAAGCCGCTGGTGACGTTCATCGACAACAGCGCCGACACGTCGTCGGTGCCCTACATCCTGCCCGAGTTCAACAACGTCTGGGAGAACCCGTACGGACAGACCACCTACCCCTTTTCCTGCAACGTCGACCGGATCGACCAGAGCGCCTCGGCCGGCGACCTCATGTACATGGCCAACCACTACCTCGACTCGCAGTCGACGCTGTTTGGCGTCACGTTTGAGACGCCAAAGACGGACCAGCTGGGCGAGGTCAACGGCGACCAGGCCGTGCTGAGCGGCGCGCAGAGCTGCGCGGCCCAGCACGGCAGCTACCCGACCTTTATCCTGCTCGACTTTTACGACACGGGATACGGCGGCCCGTTCAAGGCGGCCGCGGCCATGAACAATGTCGCCTACGTCAACCGCACCACGAGCGCCACGGCGGGATCCGGCGGCGGCAGTAGCAGTAGCGGGAGCGGTGGATCTTCGGCGGCGCCCTCGTCGTTGGTCCTGTCGATGCCCTCGGCGCTGCTCGCGGCGTCGCTCAGCATCGGTGCCGGCCTGCTGCTCCTCTGAGCATCGGCCCTCGCGCCCGCGCGCCCGTTCCCGTCCGTCCGTCCGTCTCCTGGTATCGTCGAAGCAACCACCATTCGACATTGGACTCTGTGTAGCCTCCCCCGCCCGTTCGCCCGCTCGCTCCTCCCTCCTCGCCCGGCCTTTGCGCTCTCTCTCCCCCTCCCGCTCCTTCCGTCTCATCCGGTCGGTCTGTCTGTATCGCAATTTCTCTTGGAACATTCTACCCCCTCCCTCCCTCGTAGTAGTCTCTCTCGAATCAGTCCAGTCCACCTGTCCATCGACACGTTCCTTTTCAATCTAATCCATCCCTCGTACCGACCCACCGACCCACCATCCAACTTCGCTTGGACAGTCCCCGTCCGTCGCTCAGTCAAAAAAGTCCCGCATCCGCATCGCGTCTCCCTTGCCCTTGCTGTCCCCCCCCCCCCCCCCGACTCGACGGTGCAGAGACCGAGCGAGAAACCGACGTCGACGATGGGCGTCCCCCGTCGCTCTCTTTTGGATGTCGTTGTCGATATCAAGGCGGTACGATCAAAGTGTTGGGGCCCCCCACGTCTCCGCGGCTACGGCCGTGGTTCCATCGGCGCTGAATCCATCTACAGTCCTCGTTTCCCCGTTGGCGGTGTCAGTTGCCGAACCGGATCTCGCCACCGGGAAAAGCGCCCCACTGCGGCTGCGCCTGCTGCTGTCTCGCCGCTTCCTCGTCCTCTTCCCGCCTCCTCCTTCCCTCGTCCTGCTCCACCTCCGCTACCTCGTCCTTTTTCTTCGCCGCAGCGGTGCGACGCGTCGACCTCCTCGGACTATCCGCTGCAGCAGCAGCAGCCGGTTTGCGCTGACGAGCTCGAGGCGAGGCAGCGGCGGCGACGTCGGCGTCGGCGTTGGCGTGCAAAGCAGGGGCCGAAGAGGGGGCGTGCGATGCACGAGGCGAGAGAGAGGTTCCTCCGAACTTCGACACGAGATCCTGCACGTCGATCTGTGTTTGGTCGTGCAGAGAGAGTTTGGGGAGAGCGGTAGAAGACGATGAAGATGGTGTCAGCCTCGCCATCTTCTCGGACATCAGCGATCGGAGAGGGAGGAGGGGAAGGAGGAAGAGATGATGGCGCACCTGTCGAGCCCGATGCCATTCCTGTAGTCGCATGGAGCGAGCGGATCGACGACAAGAGGACGGAAAAGGAGAGTCAGAGAAAAGCAGCAGCACGGCCAGCAGCAACGACGACGACGACGACGACGACGACGACGACGACAACGACGACGACGACAACGACAACGACGACAACGACGACGACGACGACGACTCACCTTGACGTCCTGCCTATAGGCCGACAGCAACTTTGCCAGGCCGTTGTAGAACTGCGATTTGACGAAAGAGATCGGCCGGCCGCGAGACATTCAGACAAGGTCAGCACACCTTGACCAGGGGCGCCCGCGACTCGCTTGGACCCCACCGCTGCGCAGCGACTCACTTCGAGACCCTCGACGAGGTTGCTGTCAAGCTCTCGGTACTTTGCATACGCGACGTCGAGGTTCTGCAGGGCCTTGGTCCGCCTCTTGATGGTGATGTCAACCTTGCGCGCTTCGAGGAACTCGTCGTTTCGCTTCTTGATGCTGTCGAGCAGCGCCTCTTGGTCTTGCGCGCTCTTTGCCATCTCGTCGCGGAACCGGTCGTACTTTGCCATCTCGGATTCGAAGAGATCCTCGAACATGGCCGCATCAATCGACTTGGAGGTCGTCGACGACAGGCGGGCAGTCTCGCGAAGCACGGCGGGCCGGATGTCGTCGCCCGACGCCAGCGATTTGCACTCTGCCAGGCACGCCGCCCGGGCGTCGAAGAGGTCGTCGAGCGTCTCGAGCTCGGTGCGCAGCCCACGCACTGCCGAGACCTGCGCGTCGGATTGCGAGTTGTTCGAGCTGCTGCTGGATGTGCTGGGGACAAACGCCTCGAGCGCGTCCTAGAGCGACGGCGGTGGCGGTGTCGGTGGCGATGGCCGGCGACGGGAAGGCGGGGGAGGGGTCGAGGGAATATCAGAAGGTGCACGGCCTGGATCGTCGGTCGCAAGCGAAGCGCAACGTGACCCGGGACTCACCACACCGCTTGAAAGCACGCCGATCAGCTCGCTCCAGTCCTCGAGCTTCTGACGGATGATCGCATCGCTGGCGCGAGCCTGCTCGAGCGATTGCGCATACGACTCGCCCGTCTGCCTGAGCTGCGCCGCCGCCTCGTGGCTTGGCGGCCGGGGCCACTTGTGCTGGGAAAAAAGGCGCCGCACGTGCTCGTCCTCGCGCTGCTCCTGCTCGAGGATCGAAAAGGCCTCGGACAGGGTGTCGGCGTCGGCCCGGGAAATCTGGGCAATGTCGTCGGCGATGCTGTACAGGCGGTCGATGCCGCCCTTGGAGACGACCTCCTCGTGCCGGCGCAGCAGCGAGGGCGGCAGGCCCATCGGCTGTTCGAGCGCCTGCAGCGACCCGGGCAGGTTGAGCGACTGCAGCGTGCTCTGTGCGATGCTGTCGAGCTCGTCGCGCCGCTCGGCGATCTGCTCGCGGACCAGCGAGTCGCGGCGGTCGTCGTAGATGCTGATGGCCAGGTGCACGCCGTAGGGCACGAGCTCGGCAAACAGCGGCTTGCCCAGCGCCGGGGCCGGCGAATCGCGCAGCAGCGAGATGGCGTTGGCGACCTCGTTGGGCAGCACCGGCTTGACCATGCTGGCGGCCGGGATGGGCGCGAGGTTCGAGGCCGGGGTTACGGGCTCGAGGTAGATGAGGTCGTTGTCCTTTGTGCCGCGCTGGATATTGGTCTGGATGACCTGCTGGAGCGACCTGAGATCCTGGACGATGGCCTCCGAGACGCCGCGCTTGGACGAGTCGAGCGCGCGCTTGACGTGGCCCTCTGCCACCTTGAGGCGGCCCAGCTCGTCTCCATACCGGTTGGCGCCGAGGTCCTCGCAGGCCTTGCGGTACTGGGACGCGGCGGCAAAGTGCCACCGCTTGACGCTGACGTGGCTGACCCAGTCGGCGGGCAGCTGCGCTGTCGTCACGTCGGCCGCATCGTCGGCGAGGTCCAAGCCGGTAGCGGACGACGACGCGCGGTCGAGGGCAGAGGCATACAGCTCCGAGACGCGTTCGGCGAGCTTTGCGATGGTGCCGTCCTTGAGGCGGTCGAGGACGGCCTTTTGCCAGAAGCACTCCTGCGCCTGGGCGAGCATGAGGTCGCGCAGGGACTCGAGGAGGTTTGGGCTGAAGTCGGGCGACTGCGGCTTGAGGTGGCGGATCTCGGGCAGGAGCGCCTCGCGGATGTGGTCAAAGACGCCCGCAGCGTGCTGCAGCCGAGACGGAGACCGAGTGGCAAGAGACGCGGTCAGTCAGGCCAGCAAAGCGAGGGAGCAGCCGCGGGCCGCACTCACCTGGAACCACGCGGTGGCGCGCTTGATGCTTTCGACATCTCCGCGTCCCTCGGCAGTGCCGAGAGCCGAGTAGAGGGACGCGAGGCTGTAGAGGACGTTGGCACGCTCGTAGACCACGTCCGGGTGGGCGACGGTGTCGGCCGTGGCGTAGGCAGACGCTGTGCCGGGCCCTTGGTCGGCCGCGGCGTCGTGGAAGGCGCCCGCGACGCCCGAGGTCCACGAGGGCAGCTGCGAGGGGAAGCACACGCTCCAGGGGAAGGAGATGCCGATGTCGGGCGGGAACTTGGTGCTGAAAAAGACGAGCTGGGCGTGGTAGCGGAGGGCGACGTCGATGCTGGTGACGTGGACCGCGAGGCGGCAGCACTCGTCGCGGAGCCTGCACAGCTCGCGGACGTCCCTGGCAAAGGCGTCGGGGTGCGTGTCGGCGTAGCTCTGCGCAATGTAGGTGCGGATGGCCTGCGCCAGCGCGGCGCCGAGCGACGGCGTGCGCTTGGCAGGCACGGCCAGGATGTTGCGCGGCATCGCGGGCAGTCGAGCGAGAGAGCGGCGAGATAGCGGGGCGGCGGGCGGAGATGGTGGTGGTGTTGCTGCCGTGCAAGAGATGTGAAAACGCCGAGGCCAGGTGGGGGGCTGTGTCGTCGCCTCTTCGGCCTGGTCCCGTTCAGCCCCTCCCTCCACACCAACACCCTGGCTGCGCCTGGCTGGGCCTCGCTGGGCCTCGCTAGGCCAGGCCTGCCCTGCCCTGGCTTGGCCCGCACGCCGGCTCGGCTCCGGCTGCAAAGCCTCCACCTGCCCGGGCCTCCCACCGGGGCGGCGAGGCAAACTTTTTTGGTTTCTTCCTGCCCTAGCCCCTCCTCACCATCACCAACCGGCACCCCTCTTTCTCTGTCGCCACAGCCGGTAGCCTTCCGATCTCTTCTCACTCGGCTACCACCGTCCCTTCTTCGGCTCTCTCCCGAAGGAACCGAGTGCAAGCCGCATCGCCTCCCCTCGCCTCGCCTCAAGACATCGAGCGACATGGCGTCCGCCGCAGCCTCGTCGTCGGCCGTTCCGCCGGCCGGTTCGGCCGCCGAGCCTGCCCCGACGCCGCAGCAGCTGCTGTTTGCGCGCGCCGTCATCCTCACGTTTGAGCTGTGGCCCGCCATGCGCCTCGCCGTCTCGGAAGAGTGGGGCGGGCCCGACAGCCTCGACAAGCGAGACTACCTGATCAGCTACCTCTGCGACGAGCACGGCGACGCCGGCGCCGCCAACCAGCCCGACATCGACGACCTCGCAGAGACGCTCGAGAGCTACATTGCAGACGAGTTCGAGTGCCGCCTCGACGACGGAAGCCCCGACTGGGTGGCTGGACGCATCGTCGGGCTCCACAAGGCCATCTTCACCGACAACCCGGACGAGGCCAACAAGGGCCAAGAGGCCGTCGCGCAGCTCGAGACCGCGTTCCAGGAGCTAAAGGGGAAAAAGACGAACGCCTCGGCAGGTCAGGACCAGTCCGAGGTGCACGACCACCACGGCCACGGCGACTCGGACGACGACGACGAGATGGACGAAGACGATCAGCAGCGCGTCCAGGCCGCCCAGCGCATGGTCCAGTCGCACGGCGGCGTCATGGAGGCGGATCGTCTGGGCGCAGAGGCGGGCAACGAGCAGCGCGCCAGGAGGGAGAGGCAGGAACCCATCATCGACGAGGACGGCTTCGAGACCGTCACCCGCAAGAGGAAGTAATGTAACATCAGCAGGCCGACAGCGACGGCCAGCACAAACAACTAACTAGCAGCTCGGCCCAGCCGCCGCTGCCTATTCGCCCGCCAGCAACCTTGTCTACGCCCACGGCGAGCGGCCTGTCTCGGATCGCGCCGAGGCACCGCCCCCGCGAGCATCTTCTCGCAGGCTGGGGAGCGGCTTGCCCGGCGATGCCATGCCGGACGATGCCGTCCTTGACGTCCCCGTCCTGCCCCTTGTTCACGATAGTCTGCTGGCCCCTCTGTGACCTCTGTTCCTCGCTCGATAGAATTCCCTCCACGGCCCCCCCTGCGACGACCGAAAATACACCGCCTTATTCGAAGCGAAATGTGAGCGAGCGAGCCGGCTGTCGAATTTCGCCAACTCACGCGCCTGCCCCAGGCCGGCCGCCGCGTCACGGCATCTCGAGGACCACCAACTCCCACCCGACCAGCCATATCACCTTGCTTGCTCTTGCTCCCAGAGGCCCACATCGCCATGCCCCCTCCTTGTCTGCCTGGTTAGCGCATCGCCTGTGCCTCGCTCATGGTTGAACCACCTTCTCCCTCGCCGACTCTGGGCCCTCTGGACTGCCCTTTGGCCTGGTCAACTGCCATGGCTCGCGGCCCTGCTGGATCCACCGTGATCTCGAGCCCTCTCTTGCCCGTGTGCCGTACTGATCCGTCTCACGCCATGACGATGCCTGCAGCGGGCCGTCGAAGCCTTGCACGGCATGGCCCTCGCTTCGGATCTCCTGTCGCCGCCCCCCGTAACTTCTACAGATACCTCGGCCGCCCGGGCTTTGGTCCCTGGTTGCGCGCTCAACAGCGAGCGTGACCGACATGCCCGCTTACCCACCCTCGCTGTTCGGATGTCCTCACTTGGCCTCTCGGACCAGGGCCGTACGAATCGGCACTCGTTGTTGTCTGTCCGCCAAAGGACCTCGCTGCCGCCGACGACGCTCTCCATCTAGGTAGCACGATCGAGCTCAAACTACCACGATCAATCAGGCTCCCCTCTCCTCTTTCATGCTTCGACCTCCAGCTCCCCATCGTTTTGCACCGCAACACCATCATCCCACGTCCTGACCGGCAACCGTCACCGTCTCGTACTCACACTCTCGCTACCATCTCATCGCTCTTCCGACGACCTCCTGGTGCCCAACAGCGGCATTCTCAGTTGAGGGCCGCCTTCATTTTCCCTAGCCTTGCTTGCACCCTCCTCGAACACCTTCGCTACTACACCCACCAAGTGTCGCCGCGCCGGAACGGATCAGACCCAACCACCGCGGACGCGACGCCTTGCCGTCATGTCGACCCCGGACGCTGGCATGGCCAGGCTCAGGAGGCAGGCAGAACCGCCGCCGATAGCGCCCGTCGACGATTCGCTGCCCGACCTGCCCGAGTACGACGATGGCCAGTGGCACGCCGATACGCCCAGCGCAATAGCGACGCCGGCGGCCCCGGCATCCATCGGATCAGCCTCAATGGTCAGGCCAGTGGCTCCAACTTCGGCGAGCGCAGCTTTCTCGGCCACGCCCGTCCCCTCCTCCGCCTCGATCGCCCGCAGTTCGATGTCGGCCTCGAGCAGCCTGCCATCCCCAAGATCGACTGACACTCCCGACGCCCAAAAGGAGCAAGATGGCAGCGACGACGACTCGGGCTTCAAGGTGGCCTACCTCACGCCCGTCTTTGTCCTGATCGGCGTCTTCCTCATCTGCAGCCTGGGCGGGCGGCTGTGGGGCAAGATGTGGCACGCCCGCAAGCGGGAGGCGCGGCGCCGCGATCGGCATGCCCAGCGTCTGGCGAGCGACCTGGGCACCGAGAGCAACCATCCAGGCTCATGGGACGGGCGGCCCCTGAGCCTGCACGACAAGGAGTCGGCCCTCGACGACATCGGGTACGACTCGGACGACGACGACGAAAAGTATCCAGGCACCTTCCACGTCCTCAGCCAGCGCATCCTCGGAGACAAGGGACGCGTGGTTCCGCCCACGACGCGGTCCAGGACGGGCAAGCACGAGGGCAAGGTTCAGTCCAACTCGTGGCTAGCGGTCCAGGTGCGGCGCATGGTTTCGCCCGAAGGGTCGCAGCTGGATGTCGACCGGTACACGTCGGTCCACCAGCCGCTGCGCCAGGCGGCGTCGCGCGACCGGCTGCGGCAGATGAGGGGAGACCTCGAGGCGGCCCCAGAGAACGGCAGCCTGCTCGGGCCGGACCGTGGCCCAGCCGCCGAGAGGCAGGCGGGTCCATCCATGTGGTCCAAGCTCGTCGGTCGGTGGGCTGCAGAAAGATCTTCCGTGAGTGGCGCGAGAGCATGCCCTGAGCAGACCCGATCGAGCGCGGCAGCTTGCTGACCGTGTTGTGATGCCCTCCTTACTCCGTGTGCAGCCGGGCGACGTCGAGCCCATCAAAGGCAGAGGGCTGGGTCTATCGTTCAACGACCCAGGCGAATCCGAGAAGCTCTGGGGCCGGCCGGCTTTGCAGAGCTCGCCGTCCAGTCTGAGTCGCTTTCATGGACAATCAGACGGCGGCGGAGGGATGACGATGCTGCCGCAGCCCAAGTTCGCCTCGTCCGACGTCTCCTTCTCCCGCCATCCATCGACGCTCAGTGCCAATAATCTGCGATCGCGGTCCAGGGGCTATTACAAGCCGCTCCCGGAGATCGTGGACCTGCCCACGCCCGTCGTGGAGCCCCGCGGCCCCGGGATGGGAGCCGGCTCCAGCGGGGCGCCGCAGCACGCCTTCAACTCGCAGGAAGGCTACGACGACCTTCAGCTCGACTCCGTCGTCGTGCTGGACCGCAACCTGAGCCAGGCGCACAGCGAAGGGACGTACAGCGCAGCAGGGACCACCGTCTCTGCCGATTCGCAGCCAGAGTCTCGCGCCGGGTCGCAAGGGCCCGCAGCGGCACTGAATCGCAGCAAGACCAAGCGCCGGCCGGGCACCACGTACATGTACGACGAGCAGCTGCCTTCCGAGGAGCACTACCACAAGACCCCCTCGCCGCCGATGGAGACGCCGAGAAAGTGGCGTCCACACGCCGCCTCGATGTCGTCGCCGGTGGGTAGGGAAGGCAGCCTGCGCGACGGCGGCAGTGTGCTGACTCCCCCCGCCAAGGTGGCGAGGACGGCGACGATGTCGTCCAAGTCCGAGATGCTCCTCTCGCGCGTGCAGACGCAGCAGCGCAGCACGACCGACTACATCGCCTCGACCAGGCCGCTCGACCGACCGCTGACGCAAGAGGGTCGTGAGGAAGCCGATGCCGCCGCGCATGGCGCCATCCAGCACCAGGCGAGCCCGCCCGTGCGCCCGACGCCGACGCGTGCCAGTCCGCGGAAGTCGGTGTCGAAGCGAGCGACGGGCGAGGCAGAAGCAGAAGCGGCAGCAGCAGCAGCGGTTGCAGCTGCCGCGGTGACAGCGGCGGAGGTCGCGGAGGATGCCCCAAAAAGGAGCCGACCGAGCGCACCAGAGCAGATGGAAGAGGTGCCGAAGCCAGTGTCAAGATCCAAGACTGTCAGCCGTGCCAAGAGCACGCGCACCAAGCTCGACGACCGCAGGGCAGCAGCCGACGCAACGAGCCCCGGCCAGCTGACGGCCAAGGAGCTGACGGATCTGCTCAACACGCCCGGCCTCTCGCCCGAGGCGCATGCCTCCACGCTCGCCGACCTCCTGGCCCTGTACGAGGACGAGAGCGACGTGCCCGACACTCCCGACCTCGCCCGAGGCGACCCGCTTCACGCTCGATCGCGGGCAGTCGGCGAAGGTGCGAGCTCGGACGAGGAATCGCTCGCCACCGACACCGAGGCCACGGGCCGGCCCCCTGCCGCTTCGGCCAGGGAGGCGGCAGCAGCTGCGAGGGGCGCGGGAAAGCCTCAGCGATCCGGCACGGTGCGCACCGTGGGGCTTAGCGAGTCGGTGGCGGACAAGTCGGCCTTCTACACCCCGCTCCCGGGCATCGACGACGGCGAGGCATTCGTGCCGACCTACATGCAGATGGACGAGCCGGGCAGCCTCGACCATGTCTTTGACGTGCTCTCGAGGTACGTCGGGGTGGACCCAGGCACTCCCGAGGTCATGCCCGAGCGGAGGGACGGTCGTGGTGATCGTCAGACGATGCAGGAGCAGCGGGAGCAGCAGCACTACGGGCAAGCCGCCGAGCCGACGACACCCAAGTGGGCCGGCGCTGCACGTCAGCCCGACACGCCACTGTCGCGCAAGAAGACGTGGGCCAAGGGCGAGGACGGGCGGTGGTACCGTGCCGACGAAGAAGAGGGTGGGAGCATCGCCGCCTCGTCTCCGGGGACGCCCTATCGTCGCTTCGCGACTGACTCGAGCGCAACGACGCCGTCCCGCGCCGCAGCGGCACCGCGGGGCCCAGGATCGACGGTCTCGTCGACCGTTCTGGCTTCGTCGACGGCCTCGCAGCAGGATCATCTGCCGTCCTCGCTGACCGTCGCCTCGCCCAATCCTCTGGACCGCATCGCCTCGCCGCCGCCGACGATGCGACACGACCTCTTCTTCGCCTCGCCCGCTAGCCCGACTTCGGTCGTGACCCGACCGCGCACCCAGCTGCCCCAGCATGGCGGCAACGCCAGCCCCGTTCGTCGCGCGAGGGACCAGGCCGATGCGGGCAGCGCCATCGCCTCGTCGTCGTCGACGGTGATGCCGAGCTTTGGCAGCGTCGTCGGCGTCGCAGCGCCCGTCTCACCGGCGTCACGGGTCTACGCGCAGGAGCAGCAGGAGCGCCCGGCGCACCGGACCAACACCAAGACGAGGCGGTGGGTGAGCGAGCAGGCCTCGCCGCCGTCCGTCCCTTCCGCTTGGAGCCCCATCGACCAGCATGGCCACGGGCGCGGGATGCACTCCTCCACCGAGAGCGAGAGCGGCAGTGGCAGCGGTGGGGGAGCGGGCAGCGGCAGCCCGCAGCGTCGCTCGGCGCTCGTCAAGCGGGCCCGCCCCCCGAGGCGGTACCAGGCCACGCTGAGCGGCGGGCCAAAGTCGAGCCCGTTTGAAGGCGCCGCCGGTACTACCTCTCCCTCGCCCTCGAGTGGTGGCGAGGGTACTCCCTCGGCAGCTGGCATGGCGGAGCGCCAGGATCGCACTCGCTCGCCGGGCGCTGCTGCTGCCGCCGCCGCCGCCACCGTCGTGCAGACGCCACTGGAAAAGGAGCGGCAGCGGCAGGAGGCCCTCGACCGCGTCCGCTCGATTGTCAACCGCGGCTACCTGTCCAAGAGCGGCTCGTCGGTCGACGACGGCGCCTCGTCGCTGTCCTGATGCAGTGCCGTCAGAGCCGGGGGACGCCGGGAATGCCGACGTCGCTCGTCGTCCCTCTTCTCCCTCATCCATCGTGGCCATCCCCGTCCCCCTTCCTCGCCCACCCCTTCCATTTCCCGCCCATTCTCTCCTTCCTGTCCCAGGACACCGTCATCCGCCAGCCGCCATCTGTACCAGATCCAAAGGGGTTTCGAGTGTCGGCCCCATTGGTCGCCTCAACCTCGCCTTGCCCCTGATCCCAGTCATCCCCCCCCTCTCCCTCTCTCACCCTCACCCTCTTTCTCACCCTCTCTCTATCCTCGCGATCCACACTCTCCCTGCGCAATCCATCGTACCATTCCGAGTCTCACCATGCATGCCGGTTCATTCGAGGTCGTTACTATGTTCGTTGCTGTTCGTTTGTACGGTGTATCGTCAAGGGGGTAAAATCAGGGCGAGAGGCGTGGGTGACAGTGGGGGGGGGGGGGGCGAGTGGCATCCATCTTCGCGGTCTCCATCTTCGCGGGCCAAAGTGCAGATCGTATCGTGCCAGTCTCGCGTCGAGTCGAGTCGAGTCGAGTCGGTCTGATCTCGTAGTGGGAGGGCAGGAGGGGTCAGAAGGGAGGGAGCGGGGGAAGGGTCTAGATGTGTTGCTTTGCCTGTTCGAGGTCAGCGAGGAACTTGAGGTACCTGTGCGTCGACGCCGCGCGATGAAGCGACAAAGAAAAGAGGAGGAGGGGGGTGGGGGGGGGGAGGCAAGAACATCAGTCCCCGCGTCCATCGCATCGCATCCCATCGTCGCAGCGCAGCGCAGCGCAAGCAAAGACGTCGTCGTCGTCCCGGCCCGCCCGCTGCGTCGACTCACCTCTTTTTAAACACGACGCCGCGGTACGCGCCGAGTTCATCCACGACGACGAGGTATCGTACGCCGAGCCGGGTAAAGTACTGGTGTACCAGTTCGAGCGGGCTGTGGATCTGTACCGTAATTGGCGCCTTGTCGACGTAGATGCTCAGATCCACCTCCCCCTCCCCTTCATCAAGGTCGTGGTACGAGTGCGTCTGCGTCTGCGTCTGCGTCTGCGTCTGCGTCTGCGTCTGGGGAGGGAGGAGGATGGAATCGCGGATCCGACCCGGTTCGCCCTCTGCCACGGCGCGGATGTAGGGAAGGTACTTAAATGTACACCTCATCGTCGTCGTCGTCGTCGTCGTCGTCGTCGTCGTCGGTTCCTCGCCATTCGACGACGTTGGGAGGGGGAGGGAAGAGAGGGCATGTTCCAGTTCCGATGCCGCAATGTAGCCTACCATCTTGACGGTACCCTTCATCGGCGAAGTAGCGGCGGCGGCGGCGGCGGGGGTGACGGGCGAGTGTGGAAGCGTCGAGGGCTGCGAGGATGCAGACGACGACGAGAGGGCCGGGTTGGGCACGCACCCGACCTTTTCGCGCGTGACGAGCGGGAAGCCGCCGTCAGTGTACCCGGCGCCCTCGGCGAGGCGGGCCAGCTTCTCCCTCAGCCCGCGGACCGAGTTGGGCACGTCGAGCGAAATCGTCTCGACGCCGGCATCCATGGCGTCGGTGACGTTTACGCCGTCCCAGATGTACTCCGCCTTGCTGTCGAGGTAAGGAAGCCCGCTGAAGTCGATGACGAGGTCGTAGATGCCCTTGTGCTCGAGGGCGTCGGCCACCGTCTTGGCCACGAGGATGCTCAGCATCACGGGAACGCTGTAGGTGAGCGTGCCCGTCAGCTCAAACATGATGACGGCCAGCGACACCGTGGTGCGCGTCACGCCCGACAGGGCCGCCGCGGCGCCCACCATGGCGTACACGCCGGGCACGATGCACGCCGAGTCGCTGGCGGCGCACCACCCGAAAAAGGCCAGGTCGGACCGCGTCCACTGCACGTACTGCACCAGCAGACCGACGATGCGGCCAAAGCACGCGCCGACGGCGAGCGTGGGGATAAAGATGCCCGCCGGCAGCTTGATGCCAAACGTGATGATGGTCAGCGCGCCCTTGACCAGCATCGCCCACGCGATGGCCAGCACCAGCGGCCGGATCTCCGAGGGCCGCGAGACGCACAGCCCCTCGAGCGACTCGTGCTCGTGGCACTCGCTGAAGAGGTCGGCGATGAGCTCGACGCCGCCCATGCGCGTGTAGCCGTTGACGTAGGAAAAGGCCACCGACACGAGCGTGATGACGACGACCTCGAGGATCGGGTGGCGCGCCATCCACGTCTTGGCGCGCACCCGCTTGGCCCAGGCCATGTTGAGCTTGGTAAAGTAGGCGCCGTACAGCCCGCCAAAGACGCCGAGGACGACGAAAAAGAGCAGCTCGTAAAAGTGCCAGTCCTTGTCGTACGTCACCTGGAAGAGGACAATCTTGCCCGTCCCGAACGGGTCGAGGGCGCGCAGCGTGGCGGCGGCCACCATGGCGCAGAAGAAGCTGCGGAACATGACCTTGCTCGGAAAGTAGTAGCTCACCTCCTCGAGCGAAAAGAGGACGCCGCCGACGGGCGCCCCAAACGCCACGGCGACGCCCGCCGCGCACGCGCACGACAGCACCTCGCGCCGCTTGCCCTCGTTGTTCTCGTACTTGGGAAAGACGCGGCAGACAATGTTGCCCACGCACGACGCAATGTGCACAAACGGCCCCTCCTTGCCCAGCGACAGGCCCGACGCCACCGACAGCGTCAGCCCCACCGACTTGGTAAAGAGCGTCCAGAAGCCCAGGTAGCCGTGGATCACGAAGCCGCTAAGGATGCACTTGACCTCCGAGATGCCCGAGCCCGTGGCAAAGTAGAGGATCTTGCGCGGCGCCAGCGCGGCGTCGGCGCGCTTGTCGTGGGCGATGCGGCCCAGCGGCGGCGGCGGCGGCGGTGCGGTGGCGGTGGCGGTGGCGGTGGTGGCCTGGGTGGCGGTGCCGCTGCCGCTCAAGAGGGCGGTGCGCTCGTCTGGCTCGTTTGTGTCGTCGACGAGGGTTGCGCCGCGTAGCTTGTTGTTGCTGTTGCTGCTGCTGGTGGTGCCGCCCTTGCCGCCGCCGCCATTCTTGCTCGAGAGGTAGAGCTCGCTCGAGGTGAGGTAGATGGTGAGGACGCTGGCAATCGTCGACCAGAGGACGGCGATGGCGACGTACATGCCGTAGTCGGCGAGCCAGCTGTCGTGGCCGATGCCGCGCAGCCGCTCGCCCCACGTGATCCAGCCGGGGCACTCGTCGGTCTCGGGCTGCAGCTGGAGCAGGTCGACACGCGAGGCGGCGGCGGCAGAGGCGGCGATGCGGGACCATGCGGGGCTGCCGGCGACGGGACCGGCCCAGCCGGCGAGGAGGCGGTTGCCCATGCCCGTCAAGATGCCGCGCGAGGGGTCGGAGGGCGACGATCCAGCGGCGTCCATGAGGCGGGTGCGGTAGGCCCAGAGCGGGGCCGAAGCGGCCGAGGCCAGGCTGACGTTGGCGGCGGCGACGTTGCCTGCCGCCGTGAGGACCGAAGGCGAGTCCCAGTCGGGCCCGCCGGCATAGGGACAGCAGAAGCGCTTTGCGAGCCTCCAGTCGCGCTGGCAGTAGCCGTCCTTGAGGTCAAAGAGGACGGCCTCGGACTTTACGATGCATCCTGCGATGAGTGCGGTGATGATGCCGGTGATGGTGACAATGATCCAGCCCTGGAGTCGGTCCCAGCTGTTTGTGATGCGGCCGCGGATGCCGCGGAGGCGGCGGATGCGGCGGAGGCGGGAGCTCTCCTTGATGGCGTCGTGGATCCAGTCGATGGTGGTGTAGGACTCGTACCAGGTTCGTATGCCGTTGCCCGCTCCGGCGGCGGGTGCGGCGGCCGACATTTCGTCGGTGAGCTGCGGGTCATCGTAGTTGCGCTTGCGGTCGCGGTGGTGGGATGCCGAGAGGGCGCCGTAGAAGCTGCGTACGGGGCTGAGGGGGGCGTCGAGCGAGGATGCGATTGAGGCTGCGCCGGGGGTGCGGAGGAGTCGCTGCCCCGCCGCGGCGAGGAAGCTGGAGCGGTTGTTGTTGTTGTTGTTGGCGGCGGCGGCGTTGCGGTCGCGGCTGCGTTCGCGGTCCGAGTTGGTGTTGAGGCGGAGGGTGGCAGGTCCGCTGCCGCGTTGACGGCGCTGGCTCAGCGAGGCGGGTGCGGTATCGGAGTGCGAGGAAGTCTCGTCCTGCGAGTGGGGCTGAGGCTGAGCTTGAGGCAGTTGGGCCTCGTGGGCATGGCCGTCGCCGGCGTGGGGAGGCATGGGGAGCGAACCCGCCGATGGCCTCGGAATGACGAGTTTGAGATGGAGCGGGTAGACGAGACGAGACGGGACGGGACGGGAAGGCGACCAAGGGAGTGAGCGACGAGTCGAGACCAAGGCAAGACAAGGCTAGCGGATGGTGATGGTGATGACAAGAGGCCAACGACGACGACGACGAGGCAGGGTCGACGAGTCGAGGCGGGCCACAGACGTCCCCGCCGCCAGCAACGAGGACCAAGCTAAGGCGGGCCAGGCCTGCCAGCCCACCACACCCGCACAGACGCCCAAAGCCAACGGGCAGACAGGCAGGCTCACCAGCGCTAGGCTCGACCCCGCCTCGCCCTGGCCCGAAAAAAGGGGCGCGGGCCGCGACGACCAACACCCAGCGTAGTTAGCCACTCCTTGCCAGCCAGCCTAGCCTCGGGCCAGCCCCGACCAACAAACACAACCCCCTGCAGGGTCCCCCTTTGGCCCGCGCTTGCCCTCCCACGCGAGCCCCTGACCAGCCCGTGCGGATCCGAAGCAGACAGCGCAGCGTTCCTCTGGCATCATTGCAACCAACACCACCACGCGCCGGCTGGCATCGTTTCCGCGGTGCATATCCAATCAGCAACCAACACGCGCAGCACCGATTTCGTCGGCCTGCTTTGTCCCTCATCCGTCTCGTCTCGTCTTGTCGCCGTCGCCATCGCCCGGTCGTCAGGGGAGCCCGCTGCGGCCGGGATGCAGCCGCGTCCCGCCGCCGTCCAGGTGTCAAAAGCGCACGCTTGCGGCGGGAGCAAGACAGAGGCTCACCCATCCCTGGGCCGCAGGCGTCGATGCTGCAACACTCCGGATGCGTGCATGTCTGTGGGCCATACGAGCCACCCTGCGCCGGCGGTGACGGCCGTCGTGGGGCTCGTCTGCCTCCACGCGCTCGCCGCGATCCTGGCGGCGGCTGGAGGCCATTCATTGGCAGCTGTCGAGGCCAGCACCTGTGCAGCCTTGGCATGGAGAGGACACGGCCAGTGGCGGTGACCCTGATGCGACCACCTAGCCGCCCCGGGATCGAGTGCGGGCGAGCGGGGTTTGAGGGGCGCTGCCGGATGGGCGAGGGCGACGCTCGCCGACGGCCGCCAGATCTTGTGACGGGGCCGTGACTCGAAGTTGCCATTGGAGCGACGAGCGCCGAGGAGCGTATCACTGGCCCGACTGCGCATCGTGCTGTCGCCTGTGCTCGTCCTGCTCGTCTTCCTGCCTTGTGACCGAGTCGAGCGTGGCCATGAAGCTGCGGATGGCCAGAGGGAGAGGGGAGAACCCAGGTCAGCTGGCAAGAGCAGGCCAAAGGGCCAAGGACAAGGACGCGGCAAGTCGAACGACGACGCACGTGGCTGCCTGGCTGATGCCGAGCTGCCTGATGTAGTGGGCCTGCTCCGAGGCAATGATGATGGTGTCGCGCGTGGCCAGCATGGAGCTGGAGAGGGCCTCTAGCTGACCCGCCAGCGCGGCATAGTGGCGTTCCTTTTTCAAGAGGGCAGTGTTGCTGGCGGCGGTAGAGGCGGCTGCGGATGCGGATGCGGATGCGGCTGCGGCTGCGTTGGCCTGGGAGTGGGCTGCGTAGGGCTGCGACATGGTGGCGACGGGTGGTGGTGGTGGTGGTGGTGGTGGTGATGAGAATGGGTGGTGGGTGGCAATGAGCTTCTTGCTCCGGGCCTCTATTGGCCGAGCCAGGTCGAGGAGCGTCTGCGTCTGCGTTTCGGTCTCTCTGTCTGTCAACCTGTCGCTGCGTCTGTGCGTGCAGGAGTTGGGTGCGTCTCCCTCGTCTGTCTATCTGTGTTTGTCGCCCGCCCGCGCCCTGCCGCAACGCGTTGACCCGCCCTAAACGCGTCGCCCGCAGGCGAGAGGGAAAAAGTGACACAAAGCCCCGGGCCAGCCGGCAGCACGCCAGAGCGCCGTGTGGGCGCGACCGCTCTCTCTCTGTCGTTGTCCAGGCGACGCCCCGCTGCCCCTCGCCCCTCGCGCCTCGGCCCTGCCTCTCTCTCTCTCTCT